ACCAAGATATTGGATTAAATCGAAGAGTGATGTATTTACCTTATGTTTTCGACAGTGGACTAATCATTAATTTGCTAAAACGATTCTAAAATACTATGAACACTCAAGAATGCCAATAAATAATGTTAATGTTCCATTAATAGCGAAAACAAATCTCCAACTCAACCAAATATTGATCTACAAGAAACCTGTATGACATATGCTAACAACAATGAAACGATCAACAACCTAAAAAAGAATTTTACATTGATTTTCTTGTCATTTTCACGTAGAACAATAGATTCTTTCTGAAACATTTTCCCCTCGATCACATTATATTCCATTTTTTTTCTGCAAAAGAATGTGTTTTTCTACATTTATATTGTTTTATTCCAACACTTATCTTTTCATTTGTTCTAAATAAATCATCGAAATATTTCTCTAATTAACTTCCATGCAAACATCACTCTGCAGAACTGATTCTGCCAAGTCAAAAAAAAAGTAAATTATTTCTTATTTACATGATATTAACGGGTTTTACTATCAACTCTAAATGTGTCGTCCAAACGCGTGCGGAAACGTGTCGTATACCTGCTTGAATCATTTCTCTTGTGTAATTAAATATACTCTATGTGCATATGGGATATTTGGAAATTGAATTATCATCTCGGAAAGTAATATCAGGCATCGAATTTCACACAGACTGAAATTTATACCGTCCATTGTAACATGGGACAGATATTTATCTTTTTGTCAGCCTTGACATGTGGTAGTTCGAAGGGTCATCCAATGAGTATCGATATGTTGCATTCCTATCAACACGGCTTCTGAATAATAAATAATTCATGAAGAAAAAAATTTTTTTTCTTTTTACCTACAGTGATCCTTTCTTTTCGAAATTATCATTTATATTCGAACTCGAACTAGGCATCGATTCTAGAAACCAGTGGAGATGGATTCAAAAGACTTCGATAATGAATCCATCCAGAGAACTCAAATTCTGGCCTAGGCTATATGGACGCAAGGTCATATTGGAAGGAGCGAAAATTTATCTGTATTGTGAATACAAAAGTACGGTTCGGAAGCATTCAATGTGACTTTCAATTTTGAAAAATTTACAATCCATATCCAAAAGTTCTCCAGAAAAACCAATAACGAATACTTTCAAGGAAGAAATCTGTTTCTTTTGTATCCTTTCTTTTCATCTTAATGTAACTTATAGTATCCAAAAACTAAAATCGAATTGCTATCCGTGAATCCCTTTTCTATTCAATGGCATATGGTATAGATTGCTAGTATATTCAAGCATCGACTCAAGAGTTCAAACTCACTGCAATAGCGTTTTTTCTGACAAGCGTGATTCAAAAATAACAACTCTTGTAAAAACGTTATTTAACCACCGATTTAGACAAGAAAATTAACGTATTAATAATTGTTGTTGAGATCTCCGTCGATGTTTTCCAAACTTAAAAATCAGCAACAATGTATCGTTATGGATTTGAGAAGAAAGTCTCGTTGGCAACGCTGAACATGTTTCATTAAGGCATCGCACTGAAATCCAATGTCATCAATTATTCTACTCGTCATTTTCGGCATCTTCACACGAGAAAAGAGTTCAGCTCTAAGATAGCATACTAAAGGACTGGCCAGGACTTATCTTTTTGAGAACAAAATTCAATCAAACTACTACATAAATATATTCCGTATCGAAGCAAATTCTCTAAGATACCGAATGCAATCATTACAAGCAACATTGATTCCCTAACTGGAACAATCTTTCATCAAACAAAAGCTGATCAATAATCGTCTGTTTCAAGTGATTCATTATCACGTCGAATGTATCAATGGCGTGTGTCATTTGGTGCAAAAATAAATAAGCACATATTTTTAGCAACTAGATATATTCGTAAGCACACGTTATTGGATATTGTTGTGTATTATCAGTTGATTATATCGACATTAACAGCAAATCACGGCTTTGGTAAGAAGAAGCAACAAGTTCATTTTTTCTTTGGAAGTTATAAGAAGCATTCCATCAGATCATGGACTAACTCTCCGAGAATCTAGACATATTCTACCTTGTGTATGTCTAGTATTCAGTTGATCGGCTTACAATCTATAGTTCACGTGGTCACCATCTTTTTTTCTTTCATATCTTTATTCACTCTTCTGTCTGCTGGTTGATCGGTAGATAGAGCAAAATCATCGAGAATACCTTAAACTTAGAAGCTAAGAATTAAAAATTTGTGAACCTATTCAAAACAGTTAATATAAAGATCTCATATAATATTTTGAAGAAAATATGTAAGTAATATGTATGTGTATGTAGACTTCCATGCAATTCATAAGGGAAAATTCTTTTACATTGGCATTGTGTTTGATATGTGCTGTGACTTTTGTTAGAAGGTTATTTTTGTGTTTTATATTGTTTATAATAATCTTTGTTTATAATAGAGATTAGTATTGACATTTAGTGCATGAAAACTCGTTTCATTTGAAACAGATGGTGATCGTTAATGATTGAATGATTTTGCTTGTATATATTTACTGATTTTATAGGAAGATTTGAAAAAAAGAAGAAAATGACAATATTTTTTAAGGATAATTGGAAATCGATCGATGGAATCTGTAGATAAATGTCTGTGTTTTAACACCAAGAGATGAATGACAAACTATGTGATAATTAAAATAAGTCTATATTTAGTGTAATTGGAGTGTGAGTAAGAACAATACAATCACACCCACACGTAAAATGCTGATTACATGAAAACTCAGTTCATTATATTGAAAAAAGCTCAATGTGAATAATTCTGTAGTATCTATATATATATCGTAAATACCTTGAAATTAGAATATCTCAATGCAGGCACACCAAGGGCAGCCCAGGTTCCAAATTTCTCAATTTCAGAGTATGAGAACATTATTCTCATTGGAATATGGTCGATCTGATTAACTTACAGTACAAACGCATCATTGTTATTTAAGTAGCTATAATCGGTTCGAAAATCTAGTCGATTCTGGCAGTGATTACTCTTAAAAATTGATTCTACCTGATTAAAAAAAATTGTAAACAACTGACGACTTTACTCGTTAGTAATCGATTTTATTTGATCCGAATAAAAAAAACGATGATAATTGAAAAATTATTGGTTCCGAATCAAATTTGCAAACCAACCGATTATAATCTTCAATTTTATTGAACAAAATCATAATTGCTGGACATTTATTGATCAATGGTGCTTGAACTCAATGAAAACTACGTGTCTGTTGATTTTTCCGTGCATTTTTTTGTATGAGTTCTTATTCGATATCAGCAATCAGATCCGTTCAAAATTGATAAATTCATAGTTTCAAATATTATCCTATCTATTTTAAGCTCTGGACAACAAAGAAAGTATAAAAACGGCAAATGCTACATGCATCTATAACAGAACTTTTATATTTTAAAATTGTATGAAGCCGTATAACCAAAAAAAATGAGCTTCATGCATTTTAATTACATAATAAAACAATTAATGTCTTGAACTCAAAGATGTAAAAAAGCTGATGAGTTTGATTCATTTCCTTGAATAATTCAATTTTTTCGTAGTTGTTTTGCCTTAAACTGTTTTTTTTTTCATTAAAATGATTTTTTGCTGAATCAGATGTTTTTCCAAGGGGGAAACAGCTGATTAGGGATCCAATAATCACCCTAATCACCCCTAATCACTCCTAATCATCCATAATCACTCCTAATCGTCGCTAATCACTCCTAATTACCCCTAATCATACCTAATCACTTCTAATCACCCCTGATCATACCTAATCACTACTAATTAGGGATGCAACGGTGACGATCAATAATCACTTAATCGTAAACGATTAATCGGTCCGAAACGAAAATCGGTATGACCGATTAAGCGATCACACGGTAATCGCTTAGACCGATGAAACGATTAAACGGTAACCGGTCTGACCAATCAAACGATTAAACGGCAACCGGTCGAATCGATTGACCGAATAAATGAAAATCGGTTGGTACGAACAAACGATTTAAACCATATTGATCTAAGTACCGCTATTTGCAAAGGTACCATGGAATTACCTATATATCCTCAACACCTATACTATAGGACCACCCATAGATTCCCAATAGCTATGCTGTGGAAATACCCATAGGCCTTCAACTACTATAGTATGGAGGTACCTTCAGGTCCTCATTTACTATCCTATGGGAGTACTCTTGGGCCCTCATCTGCTATACGAAAGAGGTATTTGTAACGAATTTTGAAAATGAGATGAGATATTGAAGAGAAGAGATGATGGATGATTTATTCGTTACGACTGCAGTATTTACTTTTTATTTGTGATCACAAAGAGAAACTGGGAGAATAGCGTTACCGCTATTCTCAGTGTATATAATGTTAACAACACTACTCCATTGTACAATTTTTCAGTTCTGTTCCAGTTCTACATTTTTCCAGTTCTGCATTACAANTCTAATCACTTCTAATCAAGACTAATCACTCCTAATCAAGGCTAATCACTACTAATCAAGACTAATCACTGCTAATCACTTAAAATCATATCTAATCAAATAATCAGCTGTTTCCCCCTTGTGTTTTCCTTTTGATTCTCATTCTAATTCTTTTTGTCTATAATATTATACCTTCAATGTGAAAAAAAACTTTTCAAGAATTACAGATATTCGTCGAATTTCAACTTTTTAGATCAATGAACATTCTGAAACATCACAACAACGATCAACAAAAGTTAGTATATAAAGAAGATGTTAAACGATGTTTTTGAATCTGATCAATATTAGTAAATTACATATCTCTAAACCAAATCATAATCAAGATATTCTTTCATTCCTTGCATAAGACAAATTAAATGCATATAAATTTATTTTGCTTATTGATTCTGGACAAAAACAATTCAATAAGAAAAAAATCAAAACTGAAAAATATATTTGTCCTACATAAAGGAGAACAAGATGAACATTATTAAATTATAATTTATCGTTATTTTCTTGCAATCATCTATGTCACTGTCACGTGAAATGTTCGAATTTGCATTGGTATAAGTCTAACACTTGTACCTTTCAACGATTTCTCTTCTAAAAATAAAATCTTTTGGTCACAAAATGGTTTTTTTATCTAATCAACATACCAAGAACATTCACATGAGATGACTCCTTATCACCAGTTAGCCAATCAAGTCGTTGCATATCAGCTAATGGTAAATTAGCACTAAGTGTTAATTCAGTTGTACTATTAATTGCTCCTATAGATTTGAATATGGATTGTAAATCAATTGTAACTGGTTGCGAGTATGTATCATCTTCAAATAATTCAAAATAATGTTCAACACGAATAAGATAATCGTTAGGTCCTAATTGATCTAATGTTAATAAATGAACATTTAATGGTAATGTATCTGTTAATGCTGACCATGTTTGACGATAAGCAGCTGAATAACTATCATAGTCTTGTTGAGTTAATGCAAAGGTAGCAATCGGATGCATATATAAACGTTGAGCACCAACACGATGATATCGAGCACTTGAAGTTGGAGGTTCAAGAATAAGAAAATGTCGACCACGAATAACAAGACCTTCACCATATGCAGTTTCATTCAGAGGTTCACCAACACCAAGTCCATCATCGTAGAGAAGGCGTCGATGTACCATAATTTCAATAGAACCATCTTGAATACTACCACCACCTTCTGATCGATCTGTACAAATAAAATAAAAATTAATTGATAGAACTACGCTTTTATTTTAGAATTTTTATAAATTCTTTTATGAGAAACAAAACTATGTTATATTTATTTTAAAATCTATGATCAATTATGTGAATATTCTTTTCATTTAGTTTTTTTCTTACCAGTAAGAACAGTAAATTGTCGATCGTCTTCTTTTATCCATATTCGACTATTGATTGGATAATAATTTCCACTTACTGTTTCAACAGCTGTATAATTCCATGTTGGTCGATAATCTCTTTTTCTTTCAAGAACTTCACGTCCATTTGCATCCGTATAATATTTTGATTCACTTGCGATATCAGTGTCATAACGAATGATAATTTCTTTACCAATATTATCATCTATTGGTATAGGTCCAACTGTCCATTCAACTTCAACAAATTCTCCTTCATCATATAAACTTATTTCTTGACTTGCCCAATTATTGAAAGTAATGATTGCTGTTTGAACATTATCTCCTTTTATACATGTACTAAATAACAATAAAGATAAAAGAAAAAAAAACCATCTTATAAAAAGGAATACATACATTGAACGTGTTTGACTAACTGGTAGTGCATTGGGTGCTAATGGTCGGAAGATATATGCACCAGATGCTTGAAATTCTGATTGAGAATTATTACCAGGAAAACCTGAATCGAAATAAAGTTTTAAAACAATAGACTATCGATCTATTATGTCTACGTACCTTGATACCAATAGAAACCTTGACTCACAAATGATACACCAATTCGTTGATTTAAATTAATAATTTGATGTAAATTGCCTTGATCATCGAAGTCCACTTTGAGATTCTAAGAATAGTACAAAAAAAAATAATTAGAAAGTGTTTCATTTCTTCTCTTACTTGATTTTGTAAAACACATTCTTCATTATGTGTAATTTTTACTTTAGATCGTTTATATTTCGCTTCCTCAGCTAGACGAAATAAAAACTTTCCTTTTAAGACAGTTGAAACAATATTAAAACAAAGACGTCTCACGTTTCCTTTCGAAATAGTACGTGCTAAAACCAAGACCTGGTAAGTTAGCTTTAAAAATAATTTGTTTTTGTGTAACACTTGTTCGACCTGGGATATTCTGTGTTGCATCCGAAATAGGAACTAGCTAAGAAAAAAAAAACAGAATAAGAAAATTGTCAACAAATTATATTTTTTTTTCAAATACCTCAGACAAAACAGTTTCTCCTGTTGGATCACGAACCGTATAATCTGTTCTAACAGGTACACGAACATGTTGAACAACTGGATGTACTGTGGGATTCCAAAGTGTCAACGTAAACTGTTCACAGAAAGAAAGAATAAAAACAAATAAAATGATTTTATCTTTACGCGCTCTTGTCCATCGATTTCCAGACATTGACTAATGTTTGATAATTGACAAAGAAATTGATTTGATACTGGAGGTGATTGACTATCTTTAGTTAAAAGTTTCGAATAGGCTTGATTGATGGCATTCTAAATAAAGATAAAAATTTTAATTCTTTAAATTAAGAGATAAATAGAGTTTGAACTCTGACATAAGTTATAACAAATAAGGATATTAGAAATTTAAGAAACTGCATATTATTTCTTTTATTCAATAAACGACTTTCGTTATATTTTTAAAGGACAATCTAAACTATGGTATATTATTTCTATTTATATAGTGAAATTTTCTAAAGTCCATACATACAATAATAAATTTTCTTAGTCTAACATATTGTAAGGCTTTACTGTCTTATTAAAACCTTTAAATCCTCTATTGTTCTATGTTGTATGAAAGTACGCTTTGATTGCATAGCAAGTCTGTTATTTCAACATACTTCGGCTACAGCAATGCCATCAGATAATCGTTGAGCATAATCAAAAGCAACTTCTTGTTTTTCTGTACCACTAACAGCATCATGATGTTGAGCAACACCCATAGCTTCACCTATATTTCATAATAAGTTAAATCTTTTAATTATAAATTTAAAACAAAATATTTTTACTTAAAAAGAAAATATTATTTCGTAAATTAAGATTAGCTAATGCATTGAGTTGTCTTGTAGCTTGTAAAATATTATTTGAATGACGTTCATAACGTTTCAAAGCAGCTCGTGATGTAAAATATCCTGTCCAAAATCCATGAGGATGATGAGCATATGGAAAAAAATCATCTGTTTTCGCAGTCCACGCACGATCAACTTTATTCAGAGCGTATAAATAACATGATGGCGTTGAATAGAAAACATTAACATTGCTGCCATCAGTTTGCTAAATTTAAATTTATTAAAAAATACTATTTACTTTGAAGAATAGGTTAAACAACTAGATGTACCTTAGCATTAACATATTTGATTAATTTATCCAAATTTTTAAATACTTCATTTGCATTTTCGAATTGGAAATCGCTGCCAAAAGTCATAATTATATGATTAGTAGAATAACCAAGTGCCTATGAAAAAAAAAGATTATAGCCATTGGTTGTTTCGTATTTAAATTGTTAAGACATTTATAATCATTAAATTAGGATTTTTATTTTGAATGTTTCATAGGGTTCATTTTCTACAGTCAATATATCTTTGGTACGTTAACAATAAAATTATCTTTTTGTTTTTCGTTCAAGATGTCAATGATTTCAAAATGACCTGCAGATAACCTTGTTTTCAGTCATACTTTCATCATAAAAAAATATTTTCTTCATAAACACAATGGTATATTTCGGGTTCTAATAAGACTAAGTCGAAATGTTAAGGTTTCACAACACTATTTCGTATATTATTGTTATTTCCATCAATATTAAAGATTTTTAAATATTTCACACTCCTCCGAAAGATTCAGCTTTGCAAAGTAATATATGGGTTTATGTCAAATATTTATAAGTAACTTTTCTGTCACTCATAACTCAATGCTTTGTTTATAGATGTGACCTTATTAGATTTACAAGTTCTACTTTATCTTTTTACAAGTCATTAATAAATACGAACCTCATTATTAGCAGCTTGAATAAATGCTTGAACACGTTCCTCGACATTGATTTCGTAGAAATGAGAATCATCCTATAATAAATACACAGATTTACACAAATAATAATAATTAATAGAAGATATAGAGACAATATCTATATCAAATTATGAAGATAGTCACAGAAAAAATTAAATATAAAAGTTATTTTGACTTTGAACATTGATTTGAACGGACTACTCACTCCAGCCTTCTTTGTCTATGATGACTTGAAAGTATATTCATTGTGAAGTTATTCCTAGACAGCTCTTTTCTGTTTCTTGTTAGTAAGAAACCTCTTAGCAAAATTAATTATATGTCAATATATCGTTTCTAAATAGATACTTTTTAAAGTCATTTTCAAGTTTTTCCTATTATACGTAAGTAAAAGCACAAATAAATAATCAAGATCAAGACCACATCAATGAAAATTGCTACTGACCATGATAGGACTATCTGAACAACTATAATCAAAACAGAACGAGTTTGGTGGACCGTATCCATTAGGTAAAACACCAGTGAATAACCAACTTTGACGATCTTAAATTTATATAGATTTTCAATTTATCTTTAAGTCACATTAACATTCAAACTACAATTAATTATTTTTCACTCACCCAAGTTTGCACTTGCTTTCCAAACCATTTCCATGGTTTTTGTTCTATTACGTGTTGTATAATCATCATAATCAGCACGACCAAAAAATAAACCATCAAAACCCATCTAAAATCAATTCTTTCATCAAAATATCACAAGCATTTATAAAACAAACAAAAAAATATCACTTGTGCAAGAAGTGAAGCTTGTTCACGTGAATGACCAAATGGATCAATTTGCCAACCGATTTTTGGTCGACCACATTCACCAAATTGATCACGTAAAAATTCAGCTCCTAAACTATGTTGATCAATAATTGAATTGTAATGAGTTGATGCTTCATCATTCATACACCAACCACCAGAAATAAATTCAAGACGACCTTTGAAAATGAAAAAAATTCATCTTGTAAAAACACAAAATACTGTTTTAGTAATTTTACCTTCGTTAACAAATTGTCTGACTTTATCACGTATGGCATCTGTTTGCTGATTCCACCAACGCCAAAAAAAGCCTATTTCAACATAAATGAAACGTCGATCAGGATTTTCGTCAAGTGCAAGAATAACTGAATCAAGTATATATTGTACACCGGCATGTTGAATATAATTACGAGCTTAATAGAACAAAACATAGATTTAGTACAATGATTGGTAAACAAAAAATGAATATATGTCTGTGGCATCGAACTTTTCAATAACTTGAAATTCTAACTACTATTAAGTGAGTTCGCTTCAAACAAGATTCTAATGTATATGAAAGAATAAACAAGTTTAAATTTCTTTTTTATATCGTTCTTGATCTTGTCTCTTTTTATATTGGTATAATAACTTCAATAAACTATACAATTTATTCGTTTCAATGCTTAAGATTCTTGTGAAGATTGAGAAAAATTTGCGAGAAACAGTAGAAAACTAATGTTTTTATTTTATTGTTAATCTTATTATTAGAGAATATGTTATGATTCATTGCCATAATTATAAAATCTATAGAGTTTCGAAAAAAAAAAATAATTTGAAATATATTTACACACCTCCATAGTAATATTGATCGACTGTTTTCAGCCATCCAACATCATCATGTGTATGCGCAACGATGTGAACATTGAGCTTATTTGGATCACCTAGATTACATGCCTGAAACGAAGATTATATGTAATGTAACGAACAAATGTTTGTTTTTGAACTTTCTCACTTCATAACCACATCCACTGGATCGCTTGATTGGAGCTGAAAAACAACAAGCGACAAGAACAAATATCAATCCGCAATATGTTGTGACATGCATTGTTTAAAAATCACCACAACTTTAAAGAAACAGATAATTTGTATTGAAAGATGTGCAATGATTATTTGAACTTACAGTATGTGGTTAAAACAGGATGGAAGAATAGAGAATACTGATGTGTGTGTGTAATGCAAGTTTATGTAAGAATGAATTTATAAACTGGTGTTACCTATAAATTTGTGGGCAAAAGATATCATGACTGAAATTTACTTTGCACATTAGTTGGTTTTTGATAATGGTAGATAAGAAAAATACACAGAAAGAGAGAGAGAGAGAGAGACAATAGATAATAGTATGCGACTTGAAGATACCTCTGACAATGATATTTTCTGTTAGACAAAGCAATAATTTATAGAAAAATTAGAATAAAAAACAATGAATAAATGTTACATCTTTAGTAGGTGTCCATGCATACTACAGTTCTAAACCTTTGTTTTGAATGATTGTGAGAAAGAAAGAGGGTAATGAATGAAAGTCGTAAGAAAGTGAAATGAATATATTACACCATCATCACGTATGATTCATATGTGAATTATTTTGAAACTTGAATTAATTCGTGCCACGATATGGTTATCGGAAATAATAAAATTTGCATCGAATTTCTTATTTACAAACGACGATTCTTTTTCCTTTCTATGGTTTTCCAATATGCTGCATTAATGGACATGAGCTTGTAAATTCGACTATAGTTGTTTTAAAATATTTAAGATTTCACATTTAAATTGCCACTCTGTATGTCAAATTTGTCATTTATAGCCTAGATAATATATTTTATGAGAAATCTACGTGGAATTTTCTGAATGCTTATATGATGCTAATTGAAAATTTAACGCTACGCTTTCGGCACATATACACATATGTATAAGAGCAAATCAATCTTTAAAATTATTTATTTTTCTTTGATCCTAATTATTGACGACACATTTAAAAAAAAAATGAATGAAAATATATATGTATGTCATCTAAACAAAGACAAACAAAATAAATGTCTCATCATTGTTCGTTTTTTCTTCGTCAATCGATTATTTATATCACTGTTACACGGAATGTTCGAATTTGCATTGGATTCAATGTGATATTTGTATCTGTTAATGATTTTTCTTCTAAAAATAAACAGACAGAACAAAGTTCTTAAATAAACAAAGATTTCTTATTTGAAATATTTACTACGAGTTTTCATTTGTGATAATTGTCCATTTGCAGTTATCCAATTAAGCCGTTGCATATCAGTTAATGGTAAATTAGCACTAAGTGTTAATTCAGCTGTGTTACTAATTATTCCTATAGATTTAAATAATGATTGTAAATCAAATGTAACTGGTTTTGAAAGCGTATCATCTTCAAATAATTCAAAATAATGTTCAACACGAATAAGATAATCTTTTGGTCCTAATTGATCTAATGTTAATAAATGAACATTTAATGGTAATGTATCTGTTAATGCTGACCATGATTGACGATAAACAGCTGAATAACTATCATAATCTTGTAGATTAATTGCAAAGGTAGCTACTGGATGCATATATAAACGTTGAGCACCAACACGATGATATCGAGCACTTGAAGCTGGAGGTTCAGCAATAAGAAAATGTCGACCACGAATAACAAGACCTTCACCATATGCAGTTTCATTCAGAGGTTCACCAACACCAAGTGAATCATCATTAAGAGTACGTCGATGTACCATAATTTCAATAGAACCATCTTGAATACTACCACCACCTTCTGATCGATCTGTACAAATAAAATAAAAATTAACTGATAGAACTACGCTTTTATTTTAGAATTTTTATAAATTCTTTTATGAGAAACAAAATTATGTTATATTTATTTTGAACTCTATGATCAATTATGTGAATATTCTTTTCATTTAGTTTTTTTTCTTACCAGTAAGAACAGTAAATTGTCGATCGTCTTCTTTTATCCATATTCGACTATTGATTGGATAATAATTTCCACTTACTGTTTCAACAACTGTATAATTCCATGTTGGTCGATAATCTCTTTTTCTTTCAAGAACTTCACGTCCATTTGCATCCGTATAATATTTTGATTGACTTGCAATATCAGTATCATAACGAATGATAATTTCTTTACCAATATTATCATTTATTGGTATAGGTCCAACTGTCCATTCAACTTCAACAAATTCTCCTTCATCATATAAACTTATTTCTTGACTTGCCCAATCATTGAAAGTAATGATTGCTGTTTGAACATTATCTCCTTTTATACATGTACTAAATAACAATAAAGATAAAAGAAAAAAACCATCTCATAAGAAAAGAATATTTACATTGAACGTGTTTGACTAACTGGTAATGCATTGGGTGTTAACGGTCGAAAGATATATGCACCGGATGCTTGAAATTCTGATCGAGAATTATTACCAGGAAAACCTGAATAATAACAAAAAAAGTGCATATTATTGATGAACTTATAGTCATTGTTGACTCACTCTGATACCAATAAAAACCTTGACTTGAAAATGCTACAGACAAATTCTTTTTTAAATTAATAATATGTTGAAGATTGCCTTGATCATCAAATTCAACTCGAAGATTCTACAAAATTAGAGATAATATGTATATGTAACATATTGATTTTTGTTGTCTAACTTGATTTTGTAAAATGCATGCATCATTTTTAGTCATTTTTATTTTTGGTTTTTCACGTTTTTCATCAGCTAGATCGAACATAGTTGCTTATTTTAGTATTGAATATCAAAAAAAAAACAAGTATTACTTTTCGCTTCAAAGAAATAGGTGTTAAAACCAAATGCTGGTAAACTTGTTCTGAAGACTATTTGACTTGTAGCAGTACTAGCACGACCAGGAATTTTCTTTGTTGAGTTCGAAATAGGAAGAACCTAAAAAAGAAAACAACAATAATTCATCTATTCATATACTTGAAGTCATCACCTCAGCCAAAATAGGTTGTCCTGTTGTATCACGAACTGTATAAGCTCTTGTTACGGGTACACGGAAGTGATGAAGAACTGGATTTATAGTTGGATTCCAAAGTGTTACTGTGAACTGTTCAATATAAAAAAAAAGAATAAGAATAGAAAATAATAACTAAATGATTACTCGAAGTTGATCTTGAAGTGGTAAACATTCACTGATATTAGTTAATTGACATAGAAATTGAACTGGTGATGGTGGTGATTGACTACTTTTGGGTAATAATTTAGAATAAGCTTCATTGATGATATCCTAAAAGAAGTAACATGAATACTTATGATAATCATAATCCTTTATCTAGAGTAAAGATAATAGTCATTGTCGAATAATAGTAAGTGCTAATTAATTTGATTCGGATATGTTTGTTGTCCATGAAAACTTGAGAATAGAATTATTTAAATACTTACAGAGGCAACATTAATGCCAACAGCCAATCGTTGAGCATAATCAAAAGCAACTTCTTGTTTTTCTGTACCACTAACAGCATCATGATGTTGAGCAACACCCATAGCTTCACCTATGTTTCATAATAAATTAAATCTTACATGTATACATTTAAAAAACAATTATTCTTACTTAAATAAAAAATACTATTTCGTAAATTAAGATTAGCTAATGCATTGAGTTGTCTTGTAACTTGTAAAATATTATTTGAATGACGTTCATAACGTTTCAAAGCAGCTCGTGATGTAAAATATCCTGTCCAAAATCCATGAGGATGATGAGCATATGGAAAAAAATCATCAGTTTTCGTGGTCCAAGTATGACTGACATTATTCAAAGCATATAAATAACAGGATGGTGTTGAATAGAAAACGTTAACATTACTACCATTGGCTTGCTATATATCAATTTTAAAAATATTTTTTTTTTTCGAGAAAAACAACAAAGCTTAACAAACATACTTGAGCATTTACATATCTAATTAATTTGTCCATATTTTTGAACCATTCATTTGCATTTTCGTACTGAAAATCACTGCCCATAGTCATAATTATATGATTGGTAGCAAAACCAACAGCCTAGCAAACAAAAGGTTAAGAATGAATGATTCTGAATAAGTCATTTTAATCAGCCGCTTAGTCTCGTTCTTGTTCTACTACATTTTTAAATCATAATTGATTTTCGAAAGTTTTTCATTATGACTTTTATTATTGCTCAAGAAATAATTTCTCGTATAATTTTTCACTCCTAACTTGATCATTATAATATATAGTCAAGAAGTATTTGTTCTATTCATTTTTTGTTTAAATGTACGCACCTCATTTTGAGCTGCTTGAATGAATGATCGAACACGTTCCGGAACATTGTAATCATGTAATCGTGGATCATCCTAGAGTAAATATACAAGATCTTTGTTTCCTTATACAAGAAAAAAAAAAGAGGTAAAAAATAAGCAATCGTGTCATAACGCATGTATTTTTACAGACAAATATCCAAGAAATAAAGAACTTAATGGTGTATAAGTGCGAATACGCAGCATATGCACGTGAGAAAAATGCACATTCAAACAAGTAAATAAATACGTAAAAAAATTTTCAACGAACCATAATCGGTGTATCATCACAGAAAGCATCATAACAGAACGAGCTTGGTGGACTGTATCCATTAGGTAAAACACCAGTGAATAACCAACTTTGACGATCTTAAATTTATATAGATTTTCAATTTATCTTTAAGTCACATTAACATTCAAACTACAATTAATTATTTTTCACTCACCCAAGTTTGCACTTGCTTTCCAAACCATTTCCATGGTTTTTGTTCTATTACGTGTTGTATAATCATCATAATCAGCACGACCAAAAAATAAACCATCAAAACCCATCTAAAATCAATTCTTTCATCAAAATATCACAAGCATTTATAAAACAAACAAAAAAATATCACTTGTGCAAGAAGTGAAGCTTGTTCACGTGAATGACCAAATGGATCAATTTGCCAACCGATTTTTGGTCGACCACATTCACCAAATTGATCACGTAAAAATTCAGCTCCTAAACTATGTTGATCAATAATTGAATTGTAATGAGTTGATGCTTCATCATTCATACACCAACCACCAGAAATAAATTCAAGACGACCTTTGAAAATGAAAAAAATTCATCTTGTAAAAACACAAAATATTGTTTTAGTAATTTTACCTTCGTTAACAAATTGTCTGACTTTATCACGTATGGTATCTGTCTGTTGACTCCACCAACGCCAGAAAAAGCCTATTTCAACATAAATGAAACGTCGATCAGGATTTTGATCGAGAGCTCGAATAACTGAATCAAGTATATATTGTACACCAGCATGTTGAATATAATTGCGAGCTGAATAAAATACAATATGAATTCAATAAATGAGATTCAAAAGGTTGCTACATTCTTATGATATGTATGTTTTTAATAAAAAATTTTAATATAATTATACTCTACATAATAGAATTTCGATTAACTATGCATACCTCCATAGTAATATTGATCTACTGTTTTTAACCATCCAACATCGTCATGTGTATGTGCGACAATATGAACATTTAGTTTCGATGGATCGCCTAAGTTACATGCCTATAATCAAAAGATCCATAGATAGCATATTCGCATGTTTAAAGTCTTTTGGATTTTCTCACATCGTAACCACATTTATTCGATTTCTTAATTGGAACTCCAAAGCATAAAGTAACACCAAGAAGAATAAATACACAGTATGTTGACATGTACATTGTTTAAAAACCACACCTGTAATAAAGACAAAGGGTTCCTATTAAAAATAGGCAAAACTAAAAAAATCTTACTGTATGTGGTGATTATAGAAAAGAGAAAGAAAAAGAAAAAATCGAGAACACCGGGGTTATGTAGCACAATTTTGTGTGAAACTGAATCTATAAACGAATATTAACAATATATTTGCATGAAAAAGATATCATAACCAAAATTTTGGCTGATATTTTTTTTTTTGACGATAATAGATAACAATATATATATAAGACAAAGAAACTGATAATAGCAAGTTTCTTGAGGCTACTAGCCTTTAACACACTTTTGTTTAATCAAAGGGTATTGATAAGAATAGTTTCAATCCTTGAAAGAAGTATTATGTAATTTTCTTTTTTCGATGTGAGCAAAGTCGCAAAGACTATTAACTGTAATATGTATCAGAAAAACACAATGACCCAAAAAAACAATTTTGAAATATCATAAATTAATTTTTTTTTTGCCATTATCGTTATTCACATTCGTCAAGACATAAAGTACGATGGAGAATAGTACATAGAGCATTCTACACTTACTTCTACGCATAATCAGTTTTTTAATTCATTTATCTTACATTTATTCTGCATGCGATCACATTTGAATGACTACTAATGACGAGTGTGGACGTGGATGAAGAGAAGACGCATTCCAGTACCGGCAATGACAGCTCGTTCTCTCAAGCCCATATCCGCGTGCAGGTGTCCTAGCGGACAGCTGTGCGGCTCCCGCTTTTATAACCTAATCATATTACCAGGATGCGATTATTTTAGTGCTAATGAATGATTTTAGAAAAAGTTATTTGCATTCAAACCGAGACAATATACAATATCTACGTAAGTCATTCATTCGGTGAACTTACAAATTCTTGTATTCTATTACATTGACACCAATCAATCACTAAAAAAGATTTAACTTCTTAAGAATCAGTATGCAAAATTCATTATTGCAATGTACTATCCATTCAGAAAGAAAAAAAATCAATGCAGAAACATTATTTTTATCCTAATAATTTTAATTTTTACTGAGCATCAATTAAATATTTATTCAATAAAAACAAAAATACAGTTCACCATATTATTTACAGAAAACATGTAAATATTAGAATTGACATCTAAATTAAAAATTTATTAATCACTCATCATTTTCACCAATTTGTCTTTTAATTTTTTCAACCATTTGTTTATCTAAAGCTTTTTGCCTTAAATTGACATTTACTATAGCAAATAATCCAAGAATAAACATAAAAGTTTCAAATAACCAAAAATGATTTCTTTGAATATGAGCAGGTATTTGGCATGAACGAACTGTTTTTATAATTGATTTTGAGCAAAGTACTATTTCTTTATAACCAGTTGGTAAACAACCATTTGCTTTTGAACGACGTTCATATGATGTACATTTTTGACATGATGTTATAATGTCAATTGGTTCAGTTAAATAACATTCACTAATTTGTTGTTTATCATCAATTGTTAATGAAGCATGTTTTGAATATGATGGGATTATACGAGCAAAAAATAAAATACTTAAGACAACAAAAAACACAGCAAAAAGAAAGAAAATTATGCGACGACGTGTAACTATATCGAACATGAATATATTGAACTTAATTCACATTAAATTAAATCTAGAAATAAAATTAGCTTTAATTAGAGTTTTTAATGGAAAATAAAAATTAATTTATCTCATAAAACTCACGAACAGTTTCAAATTTACCTTGAATTCTTCTTATCAGATTTATAGACATCGATTAATCTGTAGTTTCTATAAAAATAGATGACTCAACAATCGTTATTATTATCACATGATAAAGTTTTGGACTAGAATGAATAATATTCAATATGCATAAATCACAACTGGCAAAAAAACCGCGCATACTTTGTTCCAATAAAATATTAGAAAGTTGTAACTCTTCAGATTATACATACTGAAAACATTATGATGCTCGCTTACCAATTTATATCGATAACGAAGTGTGCTTACTCTGAATTAGTATCACCGTTATCTCATGATAGATGATGAGTCAATTTATCCTACTGCAATTGACTATTATTAGCTCCTCTGCATTTAGTGACACCTTCACATCCCATTGGTATACTTAACACAGCAATACACATGAAGATGATGGTGTCACTAAATGGCAGTAGTACTATTATTGCAGTATGACACGATGGAAATCATAATACGGATTAATTAGATATTAATAGTTAAATAAATATATAGTGTTTTTGTGCTGACAATTGAAAAGTAGTTCGTAAATCAATCTATTGTATTCGATTCAAAATGTTTATATGAAAAAAAATTATGATACTATATCAAAAGAAAAGAGGAAAAGACCATGATGTTGGTGTATATTAGCAGAACGAAAGAAGAATACCTGAGAAAGAATCTATATGTCAAAAATACACAGAGCAATGATATACATATGAGATGGCAGATGAAACGACCTATTACCTTACAGCTCATAACAGTTTAAAGGTGAGCAAACATTTTCTTTATTGAAAGATAGATGCTACAACGTATGTACCACTGCTCCACAGTGTTAAATAAAATTCGATTTATTTATATATACAATTGAAATAAATGATAGACAATAGCATTTCATTGTTGTCAATGGAATTAAGACCTAGAACAAATTCTATGCTCTGATTTAATATGATTTTTCTAATAAAAGAATATATTGCATAACAGTATATCATAACACAAGACACAAAGATCAGCATTTGATTACGTGTATTTTGTATTCATCATTACAGAATATATGGAGATAATTCGCAAAATAATTGACTTTCTGTTTTGTAGAAAACTTTATTAAATAACGTTATAATCATTTGAATTAGACTATTTTGTTGACAAATGACTAACAGATGGGACAAAAAGCAAAAGGTCATGTCATAATTAGACAATGTGATGCTGACTTAAGAAACATGGCTGTTTGACAAGTTAATATGGATTTAATGCATCAATAGAAGAAAAAAGCTTAATCTGATAATTGAAAAAAAAATGTACCTCGATGAAGTGATGTTATAAATATCAATAACGACAAGTACTTGACCAAATACACAACAAATTACATCGAAACAAAGACTTAAAGATAAGAATGAAGAAAATAGTTTCTAAGAATCTTTTTGACTAACCTCAGCATCAGAACAATAAAACTCTTGGTTATAAATTTCGAAATTCATTGATAGATTATTGAGGCGACAATTCATTCTCTGAAATATGCTAGAATTCTGTGCTTTCTCTAATGCAAATGAAGTTAGAAGCCGATTCGAGTAATTTCGCCTGCAATTCTTCAAGAAATGTGTATCAGAGTTCCTATTTTTCATTAAACTAAAATTCAATGAACTCTATTCAATTGTATAACTAGATTTTCCATATGACAAACTATGTTCTCCGAAATCTAACATGCTGGTATTTCTCTATAGAAAAGATGAGACCATTGAAGTGAATACTATGGCAATTCGTCTTGAACTGTTTCAAAGCTCCTAGAGAGTGTAAGTGAATGCATGATTGTTCTCTTCACATGCACACACAACGACCACTGATTTGACTTGTTTCTTCTTTTTTTTTAAATTGTATATTAGTTTATCATTCATAAACATATAGTCTTATATGCAGAGAATCAATTATTGAATAATTCCTTAGAGCTGCAGTTTTCAAAAAGTTCATACAAGTGATTTAATAACATCGATGACATAATATTTCTGTACATCATTAAACAAGATATATCTATAATTATTTGAGGCATTCTATTTTGCATTATTTCTGTCATTCTAGTTAAAAATGAGATCATATTCAAAATTATTTACTCAACGAAAGTCAAAAAGTAAATTGCTAACCAGTACTTGATGATCATTGATACAAAGGAACGGTTATTCACTAACTAATGTTAAATAAACAGCTGGCTTAACTACTACTTAATTCATAAATAATCAAATTTGCAACAGAAAAAAGAAACTCTGTAACAAGCTGTTATATCCATGTCGTACAGATAATGTTTCAAGTACACAATTGAATTTCAAAGAGAAATATCAATACTTTAAAATTTTTGGAAACATGGTTTGTCGTATGGAAAACCTAATTATACGATTAGAAGATAGAGCTTGTTGAGTTGAATTTGGAATTGGAACAATGATATGAACTGTGGAACATATTTCTGGATATCTCACACTACGCTTTAATGGCAAATTCTGAGTTCTAATTGATAGATTAACATAATAGGGGTAGATGTACATCGATTGTATTCGAAATAAACGCAGAATTATTTTTTTAGGAAAGCCAAAGCTAAAGTTAAGTAAAACGATAGTACCTTTATTCCTATTGGTTACATTAATGTCCAATAATTCTCCCATTGTGCAATTTTTATCGAGATTAAATAAAAATTATTATTCAATTAAATAAAAAAAATAAATAAATGAATTTTATTTAAATTTCTTTTGTTTTTTTAAATCAAGTTCTATATAAATACTAATAGCCAATAATAAAACTCATTGATCATTCTTTTCAATTATTTGTTTGTTTTCTTTTGTACTCTTTCTTTCATTCATAGTAACTCATACCATTTGTCAAATAGATTAATCATATATTAATTTTTAAAAATGGATCCAAGCAGTACAATAACATATAATGGAAATAATAATAATGGAATTCTTCCAACCAGTCCTGATGTTGCTCTGAGTCCAAAGCGTCAAGAAAGCATTTCAGACTCTCTTTTGGATTCACCAGAAATTAATGATGAAACTGATATTGAAACAATGCGTCAACGTATACATGAAATGGAAGAAGAAGCAGAAAAATTAAAACAAATGCAATTTGAAGTTGAAAAACAAATGCAAATACCTGGCGCAACAGGAACATGTATGTCAACAAAAAACAATTTTTTATTTAATTTTAATATCTTGAATGTTATTTTTAATTAGCACAATTTCCCACAATTGAAGAAAAAATGGAAGCAGATCAAAAATCAGTTTATGTTGGAAATGTATAAAAAAAAAACGACACAGTTTTATGTCTAATCCTTATATATGTATATGTATAAATATAGGTTGATTATTCAGCTACAGCACAAGAACTTGAAAATCATTTTCATGGCTGTGGATCAATTCATCGTGTAACTATTTTATGCGATAAATTTACTGGACAACCGAAAGGGTAAGAATTTTTATATGTCGGATTCGATTTCGTCTAGTTAAGTATGTGAAAATATTCTCAAAGAGTTTCAACTTAGTCTTATGAGATGATTTAATAATAAAGATATGTAAAATTGAAAATCAGCACTTAGATATTTACTACCTAAGACAAATGATCCTGTCGTTAAATTTCGAGACGTTCCAATCGAAGGTATTCGTGCCCAGTAGCATACCATAGAGGATGTTTGCATTTGAATAAGTGTATCTATACGTGACACAATATTGTCCAGGACCGGAACTAAGTAAAAAAATAAGTTGCTGAGATCGGTATTGGTATTAGGAGAGATAAGTTGTCCTAACGGGGGATAAATATTAAGGTTAAAGATTTAATGATTTTAAGTGAACTATCTTATACATTATATCAACCAGACCATAGTTGAAAAGAGATGACCCGTCATTTTTTAGATGTGATATCAATAAATGCTGAAATAATTTTTTCTAGAACGAGACCGGAATCTTTAAAACAAAAGGTCCGTACACATTGACTAGCCAGAAAAGCAGATGTACGTCACTACATAGTCAACATGCTATCGGACAAGAGATCCGAGACAAACAGCTGTTAGTAATTCTGTCCAAAGTCATTTCGTGTTTGTTGACACCAAAGTTTGAGTAAAGTACTTAGTTTATGTGTTAAACAACGTAGCCACTCAACAGGAGCGACCCATTAGAAAAGAAGATCTTGAAGTTTGACCAGATTTATCGAGACTATGGTCTGAATCGGGGCGAAAAAATTACTGGGATCAAGAAACCTTGTACTCTCACTTCTCTAAATAGGATATATATACTAGTTGAAGCAATTCAAACAAGAAAGATTTTTTATAGAAATCATAAAAGACTTTCGTTTTAATGAATAGAGTCAACATTTATGATCTTTACTGATGATAAAATCACGATTGACTCTTTATTTTAGTTTTGCTTATGTTGAATTTGCTGATAAAGACTCTGTACAAACGGCTCTTGCACTTGACGATTCATTATTCAAAGGACGACAAATAAAAGTAAATTTCAGCATGTTATTTATATTCATTTAACAAACAAAAGAACTTAGGTTATTGAAAAACGAACAAATCGTCCAGGTGTTTCTACAACTGATCGACCACCTCGTGGTGCATCGCGTGGTTTTGGACGTGGTCGATTTCCACGTGGTGCAGCAGCTTATATGCCTTATGTACCTGCACCTTATCGAGGTCGATTTGCTCGACCTATGTTTCGGTATAAAATTTTATTGATTTTGAAATAAATAAATATATGATGATTATTTCTTATTTATTAGTGCTCGTGGCCGTTCAAGTTATTATTACTCACCTTATTAAAAAAATAACGAAGATACGAAATAGAGAAGAAATACTATATGGACGACAACATATATATATATAAATCTATTTCGTTCGGTGAGGAAAA